GGGGGTAGGGGAGCAGCTCCCCGAGCACCCCAAGCCCCCCCCCCGATGCAGGCACAGCCACGCGACCGCTCCATCGGCGACATCCAGAGGGGGACGGACGAGGGGGCGCGCATGGACTACGGCTCGAGTTCAGACCTCCTCCTGCCGCCGACGAAGGTGCGCAAGCGAGAGCATGGCCAGGTCTGCGTCTACGACGGTTGGCGCGCTGCTCATCTCGCTGCCGATGGCCTTGCGCGCGGAGCTTCGCCCCGCCCCCTCCTCAGAAGGGCAGCTGGCGACGTCGGCGCAGGGCCGCGGGAAACCATCGAGCCGCTGCCAGCTAGCAGCGCTGTCAGAGATCGCCGCGCGGCACTTGGCGACGCCCTCCGCGACCGGGCGGACCCTCCCCCAGCGCGGTGCGAAAGCGGCATGGGGCGCCACCGCCAGTGGGGGGGCGCTGTTGCGAAGCCCCCCGCGGTCCTGCACTTCCTCCTGCAAGCCCCCCTGCCCCTGAGGTCTACCACGTCTTGGCGATGCATGGGCAGCGGCCCGAGAAGCCGCGCGCGCTGCGGTCGCCAGGCTCGGGCGCATCGCCGACGTGCAGGAGCGGAAGGCCATGCACCAGCGCCGCAAAGCTTTCTCGAACTGGGCGCCAGAGTGCGAGGCTGGCCGCATCAAGCCGCGGATCTCTTCCACGAAGTCGCTCGGCTCACCGCGCCCCATAGTCAAGCGCCGCGGGGCATGCGCGACGGCCGCGCAGCACGCGGCCGATGATCAGATGGACGGCTGGTCTAAGAGTTGGAGGTTTTCGCCTGCATCGAGTTGCTCTACCTTGTCCCAGGCCGAGGATGCGGGCCACGGTCGCCCCGCGCATGAGACTCGACATCTGGCGGACTCCGACGACACCTCGGACATCTACCAGGCCACCCAGCAACTCCCGCAGGCTGCGCTGCCTGCCCCTCGCATGTCGACGAGTGCCCTGAGCGACGAAGTTCGGCCCCTCCTCATCTACATCACGCGGCTTGCTGAGCGCCCGAAGCGCGGGTCCACGCAGGTGATGGCAGTTCACATTGCGTTGCTGGCGAAACCGAAGGGGCGATGGCGCCACATTGCGTTGCTGGTTGCAGTATATCGAGTCTGGTCACAAGTTCGTGGCCAGCAGCTGCGAAAATTGCTTCTTGCGCATGATCGGCCTTACTTCGCCCTGGCGGCTGGCAAGACCACCTTGGGCGTTGCCTCTCGTGCCTCGCTGCATGCTGGGACAGGCATCGCCGACGGGCTTGGAGTGGTCACCGCCATCGTGGACATCGAGAAGTTCTTCGACCACATATCCTGGTCCGTCCTGGTCGAAGCGGCTCGCAAGCACGGTTTCCCGCGTCAGACGCAGGCCCGTGCCCTTGCCATGCATGGGGCGCCGCGCAGATTGGTTCGATTGCAGACCGCGTCGTACTCTGTGGTCGTTGAGCAGGGGGCTCTACCTGAACGCAAGTTTGCGACTGCGCTTGCCCAGCTGCTGATGGTTTCTGCACCGGGCGAGCACCTACTACAGGCAGTCGCCATAGCCGGCACCTGCGCCAGCACGTCGCATGCGTTGGACGCTTTCGCGGGCGACCCCACCTCGCAGGCGATCGCCCCGATGCGTGTTCTGGAAGGGCAGGCTGCTGACATCACGGTCTACTTTGCGATCCCCTACAGGACTTGGGACTTCCAATGGCCAAGTCCAAAGCCACGACGGCGGCGCCCCGCGACCGCGCCGCCCCCCGCGTCTCTCGCAGGCTTCGGGGTCTCGGGTTCCGCGTCTTTTCCTGGCACGAGGTTCTCAAGCTCGCGGCGGGCGCGGGAAAGCCAGCGCAGTCTACGGTCTCACGCCGCGAGGTGAGGGCCATGTCCACGCGTGTCCGACACTTCCAACGGCATCTGGACGTGGGCGCTAAGTATCGGAAAGTGGCGCGGGCCGCCATTGGCCCTGCCATCACAAATGAATTGGGCATTCTGGGAGCTGCGCCACACGTCATTCAGCGCATGACCAGACAAATCATGATGGGATGGGATGCAAAACCTGCTGGGGCCTCACACAGGATCGCACCGCGGTTGGCTCGACCGCCTGATTCTCAGTCAGCTTATGTCTCCACGGTTGGACCCATCCACAACTTGGCAGCGATGGCGCGCGCCGGCGACGTTGACCATCAGGAAATGCAGGGGGCGCGGCGCGCAGCGCCGAATCATTGCTGCCGCGCATCAGGCTGACAACTGGGGGCTTGTCTCTGGACCAGCAGGAGATTCTGCGAAGTCGCTACTCGCACTGGAGTGGACCTGCTCGTCTGCGTTTGCGGCTCGTACCAGGTCTGGTGAGCTCTTGGATTTTCGTGGCACGGCGCCTGCGGTTGTTCGCTGGCTTGTCCAACGGGATATCGAGGCCTTGGGATGGCTAGCGCGGTCTAAAAGTAGAAAGGTCATGCCTGAAATACCAGGGCCCAGTCACAAGGACCCCGCAGGTTGTTAGTCGGCGCCTAGACAGGGTCTACTGCGTGATGGACAGAAGGCGAAGCGTCGGCACCTGGAACCCGCGGCCAAGGCGGCCGTTCGCTCGGCTGCAAATGGGGGGGGGGGGGGGGGGGGGAATTCTCGCAGCAACGGCTATATCAGCGCGCTCATGCTAGGGGGCAAACAAACCTACCTCGCTTTTGACCACCCTCGCTTCCAAGAGATACCAAACGACGCCAAATTGCAGCCTGTACTGGTCAGGCCGCTTGACGAGGAGGCGCGCGGTATGACTTGGTTTTGCCTGGAAGCGAAAGCGGGGTAGGTAATTCACGCTCTGAAATGCCACCTCCCCTCGTTGCCTTTTGCGAGATGATGCTATTGGGACCTTGCACAATCGTCATTGGCACTGCCCGTCGCCGGTGGCATGTCGGGAGCGCGCGGTGGATTCTGAAATCTTGGATGTGGCAAGAGCCACAATGCCTGGAGATCTGTTCTACTCGAGAGCTTGCTTCCCGAACTCTGGGTTACCCGCCTTGCCACTGACCACCACGGGATGACTCTGGACGGCGGCACCTTGACAAAGCTGCTCGAGGGAGGCCACTTGATGATCCATGTGTTGTCACTAGTGATGTCATCACTGCTGGATATTGCGCGAGGCAACTCCATTGGGGGTCGGCTTCTAGATCTGGATGGGGTTTTGTGATGGTCGGAGACTCTCGATTCTTCGGAGCTGCTTTTGGACCGCTGCCAGGCCCGCGCCAGACATCTGGTAGGGCAGAGCTGCACGCGATTCTTCAGGTGTTGATTGACTGTTGGAATTGCTCCACTTCGGATTCATACAGACTACCGGCCGCTGGTCGACGGGCTGCGTAAGGGCCGTCGCTGGTGCACTGAAGCTCGTCGTGAGAACGTGGATCTATGGCAGCAGCTTTTCCACCGCATCGACGACCATGGAGGTGCCAGTTGTTCGGGAGATGAGGCCCCCATCGTCTTCAAGTATGTCAAGGGGCATCGGGAGGATGACTGCCGGGAGAAACGCTGCAATGATTTGGCGGACCAGGCTGCCAAGAAAGGACGCAGGTTTCACGACGTGCCAAAGTCTGTGGTCGAGCGCTATTCCATCGCGCTGCTCAAGATAAGGCAGGTGGCGGCTTGGATCGGCAATGCGTCGAAGCTGCAGTTCCAGAGCGACGTGCCCGCGGACCGCGTCATGCCCCCGCGGAGGCGCAACGCCGAGCTGCTGCGCGCCTGGGACGCTCGCGGCGCTGGTCCAACCCCGCGGAGGTCAGCCGCAGGAGACCCAACGGCGGCGGCGCCGCCGCCGCGGGCCCCCGCGGAGCATCCGCATCGCGTGAGGAGGACGGGTAAAAAGTTCGCCTGTGAGCGCTGTAAAGCTTTCGCCTTGACCGCGCGAGGCGCGAGGGCCCTCAAGCTCCGCATGTGTCCGGGGCGGCGGCCCACTGGGGCCTCGAGGGTACTTCGCCCAGCGTTGCGGGCCCCGGGGGCTCGGTGGTTTCCTGTGGGGGTGTCTTCGATGCCTTCCTGTGGGCATAGGTCCTCAGGTGCCGCGCGCGTCGAGGGCCCCCTCGAGACCCTTCTTCCCGAGGCCACGGGGGAGCCGCCGTCCTCGGAGTTTGGGGTCCTTGAGCGGTCTGTGGCCTTTAAGAGGGTGAGGTTTCAGACGGATGGGGGTAAGAGGGATGAAGATGTTGGGGAGGCCTGCAGACAGGCCAAGGTGCCGAGGTCTTCTGGTGAACGGGCTGAGGCGGGTGTGCCTCTGGCGCCCGCCCTCCTCCCCCACCCCTCGCCCTCGTCCGTCCCCCCTGCAGGCTGGAAGGAGGCGGACGGTCGTAGGGAGCCCCAGGCCCAGGAGGACCGACGCCTGAAGGCGCCTCGGCTGGCCCCCGCGCTCCTGGACGGGACTGGTGGGCCCCCCTGCCCCAAGCCGCGCTGATGGGCATCCGCCCAAAGAGCGCGCTCGGGCCTCGGGAGGCTTGGAGCTTCGGGGATCCTGGGTCGCCCGTGAAGCTCTCCCTCCCGACTGTCCCCTCCCCGCTCAAGGCCCCGTAGGGCCCAATTGCGCTCGAGGGCACAATCTCGTCCTTGCTGGGGCTACCCTTGCATTCTGCCGTCGATGCGGCGACAGGACCCAACCGTCAGCCCCTCGGTCTCGGCTTTGGGGGCCGTGCCAAGGTATTGCATCCAGTAAGGACGCTACGTACCTCAAGGCCCTCGAACAGGGCAAAGACCTCATTTCTGGGGAGCGGAAGGGACATCCCCGTCCGCTCCTCGCGTCAGACGACGCCGTCTTCTGGCTTCGCCTTCGATCATTCGCTTAGCGTTTTATCCTCGGTGATTCACTTGCGTTTCATCTCTCTATCTTGCTCGTCGAGCTGCGCTCGCTCGTCTTTTCCATCTGTCTGTCTCTTCCCTCGGCCTGCCTCGGCGCGCTCGGATTCATCGAGTTGGTGTGCCTCCTCCATCTCCCCTTCTTCCACCTCCTCCTCCCCCTCCTCCTCAATCGTCCAGGCCCGATCCTGTGCAGCTGCTCGTGGGTGGTCGTCTCCCGCAGAGCGCGCGGCCACGCCTGTGCACACGCGGGGAGCCCCGACCGCCAGAGAGGTGGAGGGGAGGCGGAGGGCCCAGGGCGCGAGAACGACGCACATGGGCCGCAGAAGGACATCATGCTAGCACTATGGAGGCGCAGGTCCGAGCCGAAAACGCATCACAAACAACATCTGGTAGTGTATCGATACCCAACCAGTATGGCCAGAAAGCGCCCGCCATCGAGCATGTACTGCCAGATTTCTGAGCGCGCGTGTCGCCCCTACCACCACCACCACCACCACCACTGAGCCGAGAATCCAGCAGGACGCGTGGGCAGAAGAGTGTGCAGGTGGCAACTCTTCAAACAAATACAATAAGGACGACGGCGCGGAGACTCGACTGCGAAGCAGAAGCAACACACGTCACAAGCGCGAGCGCTTCACAACTGTGAAGCGGAAGCAACAGCGCCCGACTGTGGAGCAGAAGTTGAACTGCTCGCAAGCTTGGAGCACAGGAAGGAGGGAGGAGGCGGGAGGGAGGGAGGGGGAAGGGGGGAAGGGGGGAGAGCAACGTTACAGTAGCAACGCCAGAGCGGTACGGTGCGAACAAGCCGATGGCGGACAGGGCCATGTTGCGCGGCACCTCCCGCGGTGCCCCTGGAGCCGTCTCTGCCGAGCCGCGTGCATCGTACAACCTTGAACGATCGCGACGTTCCGATACCGCAGATCGTTCGATGTTCGCCGACTCAAGGCCACTGGCGGCGTTCCACCTTCGACGCACGCGCAGCGGTCGCCGCCGCGTCAGTGCGGCACGGACCTGCCGTATGCTCAGCGTCGGTCGCGGGCGCACCCGCCTTCGCGGGCGGCAGCGGAGAGGCCGCCCTGGGAGACTGCCCGAGAGAGCTTCCCATGAGCAGCTGTCGAGACTTCCTCTGCCTGGATCCGCCGCCGTGACCTGTGGGCACCGAGTGGAGCGGCCCGAAGGTCCCTCCCATCCCTCGATGTCGAATGCTGCGATGGTGGCGCTTTCAGGGGGCCAAGGTTGCGGGCGCTCCTGGGGGCGCGCAGCGCGGCTCGTCTGTTCGAGCGAAAACCATCAAGAGAAGCAGATGACGCTCCATGTCTGTGGCCTCGGTGGTACCACGAAGGGACCTTGTGAGCGACACGGTGGCGGGATTGGCCGAAGGCCGCTAGCTCACCATCCTGTTGAGACTTTCTGCCCGAGTACGTCGATTTTGCGCCTTTCCTTTTGTTCTGGCAAATGGAGCCGTCACTGCAGTGACCCCTCTGGCCCAGGCCCTACATCCAGGCAAGGGGCGCCGAGTGAGCATCGCTAGTGGGGTTGATGGGAATGGCCTGTTCAGAGCATCTCAAACATACTCCGCTGGTGGTTCTCTCTTATGACGTACCCGTCGGCTGAGCATGTCCAACAAAAAGCAATTCCTCAGCAATTGGTCGTTTTCTGTTGCTCCCTGGTGGTGGGTACTCAATGGTGCCAGTTTGATCCATCAAGATTGGCATGACAATGTAGCAAACCTCAGGGCGCACGTAGAGAACAATTCGTTCGTGGGAAGATTCCCGGACCACGGGAGCCCCCCACCCATCCCGATGATCCTCAGAACGTGTCTTAGCGCCGAGATATGCTTGTCCAACGAAGCCACTCAATACGACACAGGCAGTGTAATCAATGACGGTCGACAGGGGCTGCGTGCTATCGGTGAGGCTGAACGAGGTGAACACACATTGGGCTAACACACGTCCTGAAGATCATCGACCCTCCTTCTAGGCGTCGGCAGTCTGGGGAGACCTCCTCTAACCTCCCCCTCTGCAGGGTGCTGGGCCAGAAATGGAGCGTCGTTCTGCATCGAAGGTACCCGGCGCATAAGCCGACGACAAGCATCGACGACGGCCAACGACAAACGACGACCGGCAACGACCGACGACGATCACGACGACGGCGGCGACGAGCCACGACGACGACGGCGACGCCAGCGCCGACGGCAAAGCTGACGCTGACGCTGACGACGACGACAACGACGACGACGACGACGACGAAGGCGGCGACGACGACGACGACGCCAACGACGACGACGACAACGACGACGACAACGACGCCGACGACGATGACGACGACGACGACAACAACCACAAACGGCAACGACCGACGACGAACGACGGTGAACGGCGACGACGGCGAACGGCGACGACGTTCACGGCGATGACGAACGGCGACGACGTCGACGGCGACGGCATCGGCGACGACCAGCGGCGACGGACGGCGACCACCTGCGGACCGACCGAACGGCCGGCCCGAGCACGGCAGCCTGCAGGTCCCGCACCGCGTCCGCGCCGAGCTGCGGAGCATGGTACCGGGGCGCGCCGTCCGCCTCCGCGCGCCGGGGTGGCTCGGGGAGGCAACTCCCGGGAGGTCTTCGCGAGAGAGAGAGAGAGAGAGAGCAGCCATAGTCGTCGGGAACGTCATAAGGGAGGAGGGCGTCAAGGGGGGTCATCTCCCTCCTCCTCTTCCTCCTCCTCTTCCTCCTCCTCCTCCTCCTCCTCCTCCACATCATCTTCCTCCTCCTGCTTCTGCAACTGCTCCTGCTCCTGCTCCTGCTCCTGCTCCTCCTCCTCCTCCTGCTCCTCCAGCTGCTCCTCCAGCTGCTCTTCCTCCTCGTCTTCCTCCTGCTCCTATTCCTTCTACTCCTGTTCCTCCCCCTGCTCCTCCGACTCTTCATCCTCATATTATTGTTATTATTATTCGTCCAGTTGTTACTACTATTATCACTACTGCTCGTATTATAATTAATGTTAGTTCCAAGGCCAGCAATATTATTACGAGTGCTATTACTATTACAATTAATGGTAGTAGTAATAGGAGGAGTTTTAGTATTAAGTTCACAATTAACATCACATATATATAACATATACTGGTACTATTAATGAAACAAAATAGCAATTAGTAGTACAAGTCCCATTCGCACTGTGACTATTACTACTTTGAGTAGTCGCTGTATTGTGGCGGGTAGTCTTACGCGTAGCAGCTTAATACTGGTAGTCCGACAACTAATACTGTCGATGATTAACAATTATGTCTTAGTGTCGTTATGATGGTGCGTTGCTCTTCTTATTATTAGCAGTAGTCGTAGTATTAGGAGTGGTAGTCGTAGTAGTAGTAGTAGTAGTAGTAGTAGTAGTAGTAGTAGTAGTAGGTAGTAGTAGTAGGTAGTAGTAGTAGTAGTAGTAGTAGTAGTAGTAGTAGTAGTAGTAGTAGTAGTAGTAGTAGTAGTGGTAGTAGTAGTAGTAGTAGTAGTAGTCGCCGTAGGGGTCTTAGCCATATTGATATGAATGATCATGCTACTATGCATGAAACAATATATTATTCATAGTACCAGTATTATTCCTCGTGGTAGTATTACCCTTCTACATACCATTCGTTTGTTTGGTCTCATTCCTACATCACGAACTATCATTCGCATGATTATCGTTATTATTATTACTCATAATATTTGAAAGCTCTTACGACTACTAGGTTAGTAGTGGTGTTCTTGTTGATGGTATAAGGACTAGTCCTATTCGTATTAGTAGTGTTACATGTTTCTTATTCGTAATCTTCATCTTCTTCCTTACTATGACTATTGTGATCATTCGCAGTCGTACTTGTAGTATTCTTCATAGGTGTTGTATGAATATTCGTCTTGTTATTGTCAATTGTGTTACTCTTCCTCCTCCTCCTCCTCCTCTTCCTCCTCCTCCTCGCCCTCCTCCTCCTCCTCCCCAGCTCCTTCTCCTTATAGATAATTTCTCCCTGTCGCACCCCGAGGCCAATTTGTAGGGCGAGCCGGGCGTTTCGCCTGAGACTTCCTCACCACTTATGAGCCTGAAGCTTAAACATTGGCAACGGGAGGGCGGGCCGTTCTCACAATGTGGCTCTCGCCTTCGCGCCGCGGCGCCGCGCACATTCGCATGCAAACAAGCGAGTTTCACGGATTTGAGCGGGTGGTTTTCAATGTGGCTCTCGCCTTAGCGCCGCGCACATTCATTTGAAAAGTCTGCGAGAGCTTCAAGAATTGATGGCGGGTGGTCTTCATTATCCCAGTGCGACCCAACCTAGATGTTGGAGCATTTTAGGAACGCAACACCTACATCTACACCGACAGCTACATTTACATCTACACCTGCATCTACATCTACATCAACATCAACAGCGAGACTCACATCTACATCTACATCTACACCTACATCTACACCTACATCTACACCGACATCTACATCTACATCTACATCTACACCTACATCCACATATACAGCTACACCTACATCTACATCTACATCTACACTTTCGCATTAGTGTTGGTTGTGCTTTGCATTGCCTTTGTGTTTGCTCTTGCCTTTGCTTTTGTGTTTGCCTTTGCTTTTGCTTGTGCTGTTGCTGTTGCGTTTGATTTGCGTTTGCTTTTGCTTTTGCTATGCTATGATATGATATGGTGTGTTGTGCTATGCTATGCTATGCTGCGCTGTGCTATGCTAAGCAATGATATGATAGGATAGGTTATGCTATGCTGCGCTATGCTATGCTATGCTATGCTATCATATGGCATGATATGCTGTGCTGAGCTATAGTATGATATGATATGCTATGATATGCTATGCTACGCTTGGCTATGCTTGGCTATGCTATGCTATGCTATGCTGTGCTAATGCTGCGCTGCGCTATGCTGCGCTGCGCGAAGCTAAGCTAAACTAAGGTAAGGCATGCTAAGCTAAGCTAAGCTCAGCTAGGCTAGGCTAAGCTAAGCTAAGCTAAGCTAAGCTAATATGATATAAGCTATGCTAAGCCAAGCTAAGCTAAGCTAAACTAAGTTAAGCTAAACTAAGCTAGGCTAGGCAAAGCTAAGCTAAGCTAAGCTTAGCTAAGCTAAGCTGGGTGAACCCAGTGGGCGCAACGGGGAAAACCGCGGGGCGGATGCCGGGGGAAACGCCCGGGGCGAGGAACACTGCCCGGCCCTTTAAGCAAACCGAGTAGGAACCCTTCTAGGCAGAGCCTAGGTAGGGAAAAATGTGGCTCTCGCCTTAGCTCTGTGCACATTTGTTTGTAAACAATTGCAAGATTTTCACGAATTTGGAGCGGGTGGTTTTCAAAATGTCGCTCTCGCCTTAGCGCCGCGCAAATTCATGTCCAAACAATTGCAGAATTTCACGCATTCCCACGGTCAACGTACCAGAAATGATGTTCGGCAGGGGCTGGGGGAGAGAGGGCAACACTGAAGAGGGCCATGTGGGTAGTCCGCACCCTGTCGCTTCGCAAGGATCGCGGGGATCAAGTGCTTGAGCATATGCAGCAAAGAAGCACCTGGGTGGCCCTCCCCCCGTTATGTTCCGAACGCCAGCGGCGGGGGGTTGCTGGGATGGATTCCCAGGCGGGCGATGCATCGGCGATTCAGGCGACGACGGGCTGGATAAAAATCCTACCAGCCATTTGGGCTAAGGTGGTCGGACGACATCGCTCTTTCCTTTTCCAAAACCCTTTTCTCTTCGGGGAGGGGTACCCCCTCCTTCCCCTCCCTGAGGTGCTTGGGGGGCGGGATGTGTCAGAGGGTCCCAATGCGCCTCAAATGGCTCCAACAGAGTCTCCGATGCTTCAAGATGACATCCAAGGCGGCCCAAGATAGCCGAAGATGGTTTAAGATAGCGTCGGGCATATCTCCAAGAGACCCGACGAAGGCCACAAGACGGTTCCCAAGGCGCTCGGAACCCCCTCGGGACCCCCCAAGAGGCCAAAATCCATCCCAGGCCCAAGGAAAATCAATGATGGTTGCCGTCTCGCCTTTTCGCTTACGATGCGCATTTGAAGCCTCAAGACTGCCCAGGGATAGCCCAACAGAGCCCCAAGAGGGGCCAAGGAGGCCACCCAGACGGCCCCAAGAGCGCTCAAGAGCGCCCCAAGAGGCGCCAACGAGGCGCCCAAGAGGGCCCCAAGTGGCGAGCTTGAGGGCCCCAGAGAGGGGACATGGATAAAGGACCCTGAGAGGGCCCCCAGACGGCCCCAAGAGGGCCCCACGAGGGCCCCAAGAGGCGGTGTACCTCCTCATCCTCCTCCCCTCGCCCCCCGGCTGGCCCCAGGGATGGCCCGAAGAGGCCCTCCAAGGTCAACTCCTTGTTCCAAAGATCTCTCTGTTCACCCTGATGGCCTGCTCTGTTTCAATATATGTGGCTGTTCGCCTCTTTTTCCCGTCAGCTCTCATGAGCAGTGTTTCTGAACTGACTGTGAAGAGTTCGTCCCGCCGACGCATCGGGGACGCGGCGCGATCCTCTGACCTGCTTCTGGGCACAAGGACAAGGCGGCACTGGCAAGACCACACACCACCACTGCGAAGGGGGCGGAAAAGGTCATGGTGCGGCGTCGCTGCGGCTCGACGTCCCCCTCGAGCCGTACCCAATCCCCAGTTCGGGGAGGCATCGTGGACGCCCTCACTGAAAATGCCTGGGGTGCTCGCTAACGGGGCGGCATCAAATGCGGGGTGTAGAAACGCGAACATTCCGTGCACATACTTGGCCCGCGGTGGCTGTTGTGGGGGCCCGTCTGGGTTCCTTCAGGGCCACGTTTCTGTAATCATTGATCCCCACTCGTTCATTGCCCCCCGCCCCACCACGTTCGAGTGTCGCTTGCGGCGGCACTCGAACGCTGCCGCTGCGTATCGCTGCGTGAAACGGTCCCCAGGCCAGGGCGAAAGTACTGCCAGCGAGATCGGTAGAAGCGAGGTGGAGAAGGAGGAAGACGCGGATGTGGCTGGGGGGGAACAGGAGGAAGGCGTCTGAGTGTCGTTTCTTTTCGTCCGAACCCCGCCAAATCTGGACGGCCTGGACTCCCTGCGGCCGCCATCGGCCGCAGGCGACTGCACTTCTTTGCGCGCTCGGCGGAACAGCCCGCACGGGCCGCTTGCGCAACACCCAATACAGCGCCCCGACAGGTCGGTTATCAGAACAGGTCGCACAGGCCGCGGCTTGTGCGCGCCAAGGTCGCGGATCGCCTGCCGTACCCGACCACTTCCACCATCAGTGCAGTTGTCCGTCCGCATTCCAGGCATGGGCTCAGCTAGCAGAACTGGTCGCAGAGGCCGCAGCTTGTGCGCGCCACGGGCGCGGCCCGCTAGCCTCTCCCGACTGCTTGCACCATCAGCGCACCTGCCCGTCCGCTTTTTAAGCATGGCCGCTCTCCAGGTTCCCCTCTCTCACGATCCTTGCCGCCGCCACCAACACCACAGTCACTACCACGGTCACCACACTGAGCACCGCCATCACCACGATCACTGCCGCCACCATCGTACGCATCTCTGTTTTCTTACAATTAGAAACAACCACGCGCGCGCTTCGCGCGCTTAGGTTCTAG